ATATTTAATTATCGGTTCTTGTACCCGGCCGGTTTCCAAGTTTCCCAGGTATTTATGGTTCAATAGTGTACTGAAATGCTTACTTTGTATTATCCTTCCAAATTTTTAGCTGATGGTGGATTTTAAGGGGGTTTCTTTTCGTGCAATGTGGGGAACTGGATGATCTGTGATGCAAGTTGCATCGTCTGCCACCTTTGCTAGTTCACGTGCAAGTTCATTTGTGGAGTATGCCACAGTGTGCTGGGACACATTGGATGGATTTGCATATTTAGTTAAAAGATGTTTATTGAGAAGGCGTAGGGACGGACATGTTCGTGCACGTGTTGGTTTAGTATGTATAATGGCTGGAATCTCAACAGATTGCGTACTTCCCCAACTAGTAGTGTTGCAATTATTTGAAGAGCTTTTGTGGGAAAATATTGATAGCTGGTTGGGTATCCGCCATCCTTGCTTGAAGTGGGACTGCAGTCCTGGGGACAGAGTTCACTGTTGTGAAGGATGCCAGATCCATCTGTATAAATTGTTGAAGTATTGATGTAGGAATTTTTCATCGCTGAGGCTACGGCTGATTTTGACAAATGAAGAGTGGGAGGAGTAGGGAGGAAGATAGTTAAGTCTATCATAAGGAGCCTTTTGAGACACCCGCTCTGATTGAGATGTTATCTGAGAAACTTTGCTAGTAGGCAGTTGTGAGGAAAGCTGGTTATGTTAGGAAGGTGGTTAGTTCGTATGTTTCTGGCTATGTTAGGTACGTTGCTTTGGTTCATTCATTTCTGGTTAGGTTAGCAATTTCTTTTTTGCACGTTGAGGCAAATCAAGACAACTTATATTGCCTATAAGCAGCTTGAATATAATTCGCCAAAAACATAAAACAATAATAAATATATCTTATATGTTTTAGACTAGAGTGCTGTCCTTAAAGACAACCTTCACTGGCCCATTACTATCACCCTGAAACCTACCTAGCCTGCAGTGATATTGACATTTCCATCATTGCTTTTCAATCCTCAATTGTTTTTAATATCTGTTAATTCATTTTCAGCTTTCTCATTTTGCTCTTCCCATGTTTTCCCTCTGGCTCTGGTAAAGTGAAGATTAACACTAATCTTTCTCTCTCTCTCCAGCTACTGATTCTTACATCCCTGACTTGAGTTCTTACAGCCTCCATTAACGATGACTTATTGATCTGTTTTCCCTCCAAGCCTGTGTTCTGTGTCATGGCATGGGTGGTTGTGGCTGGTGAAGTGTTCTGTGTCATGGCATGGGTGGTTGTGGCAGGTGTAGTGTTCTGTGTCATGGCATGGGTGGTTGTGGCTGGTGAAGTGTTCTGTGTCATGGCATGGGTGGTTGTGGCTGGTGAAGTGTTCTGTGTCATGGCATGGGTGGTTGTGGCTGGTGAAGTGTTCTGTGTCATGGCATGGGTGGTTGTGGCTGGTGTAGTGTTCTGTGTCATGGCATGGGTGGTTGTGGCAGGTGTAGTGTTCTGTGTCATGGCATGGGTGGTTGTGGCAGGTGTAGTGTTCTGTGTCATGGCATGGGTGGTTGTGGCAGGTGTAGTGTTCTGTGTCATGGCATGGATGGTTGTGGCAGGTGTAGTGTTCTGTGTCATGGCATGGGTGGTTGTGGCAGGTGTAGTGTTCTGTGTCATGGCATGGATGGTTGTGGCAGGTGTAGTGTTCTGTGTCATGGCATGGGTGGTTGTGGCAGGTGTAGTGTTCTGTGTCATGGCATGGGTGGTTGTGGCAGGTGTAGTGTTCTGTGTCATGGCATGGGTGGTTGTGGCAGGTGTAGTGTTCTGTGTCATGGCATGGGTGGTTGTGGCAGGTGTAGTGTTCCGTGTCATGATAGAGTAAGTGTCCTGTGTCATGATACAGTCAGAATATATGTATGAACTGAATGAGAATTTGATGTTTTAGAGCAAAATGTGCAACTGAAAAGTCTTTGACTTAATAGCTCCTGAAAACTGTCACCTGGATGACAGAACATTCGGGACAGAAAACTGGTATGAACAGAACATTTGGTTACGTTATAAATTATGTTTAAATTGCATACTTTCTGTGTATTAATACATATTAAGCTTTATATTATACAATCAGGGTAAGCTTGATTCCTGCCCAGTCCTCTTATCTTTTCTCAACCATTCATTAATCTATCAGGAACAATATGTATTCAACCTTAATGCACATCATTTTAAACCCTATCAACCACGAAGTTACATTAAAAGAACCGCGATATTAACGCAATCAACGACTAATGAAAATCGTCGTTGATTGGCTTGGTGGGTTACCTAATACGAACATTATTGGCTTGGCAAAACCACTTCATATTTGACGGATGTCAGCTCGTAGGAACGAGCCGGATATGGAATGTAAATATTAAAGTTATTCGCTATATCCATGAAGGTTTTTCCTATTAAATGTCATATAGAACTTGATATTGCAACATGTGTATGATATCACACTCAACCAATTTTTGTTGGAAAGATATTGCATTGCAACGAAACAATTGATTCGGTGTATAGCACGCTATATTTACTTGTTAAACATCATGACAGGCGTTGCCTTGACACCTACATGACAGGTCGTGGTTAGAGGTAGTAAATTATCGGGTCGAATGGCCTTGTGACGTCATGAACGCGGTCGTTCGATACGTAGTATGGGGAACCAGATCCATACGAGATACGACCCAGGTACTACGAGGTACTAGGGGACACGACCCTCGTACCACGACCTCCCAGACCGCACTATGTAACATATGTGTTGAATTCATGATTTTTTTTAATATATATTTTATGAAGCCGAGTTGCAAAACGAACTCAGTTTCTCACCTGTCAACGAAAATATCAGAATTTATCTTAGTTTCGTATTTAGTCTTTACACAGTGCAAACTGTTCCTAGCACAAGGTGTTTAATTTAGTAGAAATTTACCTTATATATCTTATTAACAATTTGGTAAATATTAACCAAATATATATTATCAACAATTACAATTGCATTTCATTCACCTAGACATTCGGAGCCTCGAACCAGCGCCCATATAGACAGCAGCCAGTCGCTCTACCAGCTGGTTAGGCCTACCCACGGGAAGGCCTAAGGTTCTTGTTGAGCTTCAGCAGTTCCAGAAGTACCAGACGATTGGTACTTCTGGAATCCTTCATTTTAGGGGTTGTTGGTGGCTCAGTAGGTAGCGAGGCTGGCTACCATCTGTGTGGTGGCCGGTTCGAGGCTCCCAGTGGCCAGGGGAAGGGAAGGGAATTATCAGGGGGAAAGCGTCAAGCCATTACGACTATATAGCACTGGGAAGGGGTCATGATAAGGACTTGGGATGGGACGAAGGAAAGGAATGGTGCCCAGCCACGTGGACGATCGGGGATTGAACGCCGACCTGCATGAAGTGAGACCGTCGCTCTACCGTCCACCCCAAGTGGTTGAGAAGTGTCCAGGTGAATGATATGTTATGATCCACGATCTGGTGGTAAGAAATATACTATTTTTTTTTAATTATGTGAAATTATTTTTTAAAATTATTTTGAGGCAGTGGAGAGACTTGAACTCTCGACCTGGTGATTCCCAGACGCCTGTTTTAACCGTCTCAGCCAGGATGGTCCCATCGTTGACCAACCCAGAACTCTGTGGGCGGAGTGTGCTGTATGCGGGCCTACAGTGTGCACACTGTAGGCCCGAGTCTGGTCGGGTGGGCTGTAAAACCCTGGTTGGGCTCCGGTTCGGAGAATGGACTTGACACAATCGGGCACAATCTACTTGAGAATGGTCCAGGACGGACCGAAACGTCTTCGTCTCTTCACGTTCTAGTGTGTGGTCTGGTCAACTCCAGTTTGGGGCCTCCAAACCTTCCCTCTCCCTCCCTCCCTGAGAGAGAGGGAAGTTGTCCCGCTCGGCCGACTGGGAGCCGGTCGGCCGAGCGGACAGCACACTGGACTTGTGATCCTGTGGTCCTGGGTTCGATCCCAGGCGCCGGCGAGAAACAATGGGCAGAGTTTCTTTCACCCTATGCCCCTGTTACCTAGCAGTGAAATAGGTACCTGGGTGTTAGTCAGTTGTCACGGGCTGCTTCCTGGGGGTGGAGGCCTGGTCGAGGACCGGGCCGTGGGGACACTAAAGCCCCGAAATTATCTCAAGATAACCTCAAGATAACCTCCCTCTCTCCTCATCTTATATCTTCACTACACACTATCGTTACTGTATTTACTATCTTTATTACTGTAACCATCTTCACTACTCACTATCTTCATCACTGTAATGCGAATAAATTCACTGCATCGTTTTCGAGTAAATCAGAAAAATGTTATATTATTTTTTATTTATTTTTTTATTAACACATTTAGGTACATGTGCATTCGTGCAGGTGCCCTATACCATGAAGGGCAGTACAGTGTGTCAAAAAGGTCGCTACGTGGTGCTAAACTCCCCATCACACAGGATGGTTAGTCACACAGAGGCGTTACACTCAGATATCACAATAGCGTGATGCATCAAATGAACAAATACACAAGGGCCGTGACGAGGATTCGAACCTACGTCCGAGAGGATCCCAAACGCTGCCTTAATCGACTGAGCTACGACATGGTTAAAGAATTGCAACCGGGAAATCATCCTGATTTACACAAAGAGATCACACTAACGTGATGTATCAAATGAACAAATCCACAAGGGCCGTGACGAGGATTCGAACCTGCATCCGGGGGCATCCCAGACACTGCCTTAATCGACTGAGCTACGACAGGGTTAAAAGAGTTGAAACCGAAGTTCTACTGAACTTACTGGATCCCGTAGCCTCTCCGAGGCACAAACCAGGATTTTTCGGAAACCGAAGTTCAGTAGAACTTCGGTTTCAGCCCTTTTAAAGCTGTCGCAGCTCAGTCGATTAAGGCAGTGTCTGGGATGCTCCCGGACGCAAGTTCGAATCTTCATCACGGCCCTTGTGGATTTATACAGAGGCATGTGTGACGGGTTGTTGTGTCGCAGCTATACTGAACCAAGATGGTGTGGCTCTCCCGCACACAAATAAACAAAAATGCTGCTACTGGCCCCTTGCAGTGCGTAAGTCGCAGGTTGAAACAAATGAAAATCATCAAATAAATAATTAAACCAATATACTGAAATATTAATGAACAAAAATGGCACCTGAAAATACTTGGCTATCGTTATATAACAAAACAAATAAGTAAATGAAAGTTTAACTCTTATACAATACAAGATTATACTGGAGGTGCTGAAGACAGCTACCACACCACCACAGCATCCAGCATACAACGCTGGATGAGGGCAGACAGCATTGCAGGAGGCTGAGGTCATCCAAGAGCACTAAGAGAGAGAGACTGCCTCTCCAGGATTGATTGATTGATAAAGATTAAGCCACCCAAGAGGTGGCACGGGCATGAATAGCCCGTAAGTGGTACAATTTTTTGTTCAGTAATTCTTTTCAGTGTGCTGAGGTTACATTTAATCGTCAAGCTGCTATCGCGGGGGAGGATACTGCTTGACAGTCTTTATGAGGGTCTCCAGCTGCTGGACACCTTTTTTGACCAGGAGAGTGGCTGTGTTGCCTCTCCAGGGTGGGGGCGCCCTTTATGTGGTCCGGCGGTGATGACTCGTCCGGTGTCACCGCGAGATGGACATCTGGTCCACTAGGAAACTGTGTGTTGGTGGGTGGCGGTGCCCTGGTGTTGAGCGGCACCACTGCTGTCGAAGGCGGCTAACTGCTTCTTTGTGGGGGCAAACTACCGGTTAGCAGAGGCGCCCGGCTTGCCATTGAGTCGTGCCAGGGCCGTGCCAGGCCCTGGTGGGTGAGTCGTACCAGGCCGTGCCCCGCCCTGGTGGGTGAGTCGTACCAGGCCGTGCCAGGCCCTGGTGGGTGAGTCGTACCAGGCCGTGCCAGGCTCTGGTGGGTGAGTCGTACCAGGCCGTGCCAGGCTCTGGTGGGTGAGTCGTACCAGGCCGTGCCAGGCTCTGGTGGGTGAGTCGTACCAGGCCGTGCCAGGCCCTGGTAGGTGAGTCGTACCAGGCCGTGCCAGGCTCTGGTGGGTGAGTCGTACCAGGCCGTGCCAGGCTCTGGTGGGTGAGTCGTACCAGGCCGTGCCAGGCCCTGGTGGGTGAGTCGTACCAGGCCGTGCCCGGCCCTGGTGGGTGAGTCGTACCAGGCCGTGCCCGGCCCTGGGGGGTACGGAGAGGTGGCAGGACTAATGACTCATATGGGCTGGTGTAGATGTAGACTTCCAGTCCAGAGGTATTGAAGGTGAGGGGGAAAAGCAGTTCCACTGTTATGCAGGGGATTCACGTAACACATGTGACCAGTAGTTTGTACTGGCAGACTCCGGGTGCATTATGAGGATATCATCATCAACACAAGAGTGAATAAGGCAGCAGTGATACTGAGTCCCCATCTCGCAGGATGGTTAGTCATACAGGGCCATATGTTCAGTAGCCTGCACTGGCAAATTTTGGGTGCAATATGAGGATATCGTCAAGAACGAACACAACAGTGGATAAAGTAATTACAAAGCTCCAGGTACATCATGCCAGCGGGTCTGAATGGTCTAATAACTGGGCATTCGGTGATGTAGTGTGGGAGATCATGTCGCAGTTTGCGAAAAATTCTTTCAAACTCTATGGAAAACACAACCCCGAGTTCGTTTCAGATGGCCATCGTTACATTTTCCTTTTGTACTAATTAAATTTTATATAAATTCATGAACGTATTTTGAAAAAAATTATTACTATTAACTTTTTTTTTTAGATTTTAAGATTTCATGAAGAACTTATTCCAGTCCCACATTGACTAATTTTTTAACAATTTTTGTAATTGAAAACTGGTAACGGTAAGATAACTTTTGGGCCACCCTGTAGAGCTCGGCCGTTCTGTGCCTGTAGGCCAGCTCCCAGGGTAAGCTGGCAACCCCTTCCCTACACCTGGGCCGTCCTCTGCTTTGGATGACATATACACTGTGGCAGGGGTCTATCGCAGCCGGATGGACCATCCGCCAAGCCGGATGGACCGTCCGCCAAGCCGGATGGACCGTCTGCCAAGCCGGATGGACCGTCTGCCAAGCCGGATGGACCGTCTGCCAAGCCGGATGGACCGTCTGCCAAGCCGGATGGACTGTCTGCCAAGCCGGATGGACTGTCTGCCAAGCCGGATGGACCGTCTGCCAAGCCGGATGGACTGTCTGCCAAGCCGGATGGACTGTCTGCCAAGCCGGATGGACCGTCTGCCAAGCCGGATGGACCGTCTGCCAAGCCGGATGGACTGTCTGCCAAGCCGGATGGACTGTCTGCCAAGCCGGATGGACCGTCTGCCAAGCCGGATGGACCGTCTGCCAAGCCGGATGGACTGTCTGCCAAGCCGGATGGACTGTCTGCCAAGCCGGATGGACCGTCTGCCAAGCCGGATGGACTGTCTGCCAAGCCGGATGGACTGTCTGCCAAGCCGGATGGACCGTCTGCCAAGCCGGATGGACCGTCTGCCAAGCCGGATGGACTGTCTGCCAAGCCGGAAGAAACTTACCCAACAACGTAACGCCCAACAAGGCAGCCCAGACAATATTGAAAAGGCTACTTATCCAAAACACTATCGTCACTGGATCCGACGACCTAACAAGGTCGTTTACAATAACTGACGAAGTCGTTTAGACTTTAGAATATCTGAGAGTGTCGTTTAAAGACCCGAACAGGTCGTTTAAAACAACCGACAAAGCCATTTACAATAACTGAACAGGTGATTTAGATACCAGGCCAGGTCGTCTTGACTACTAAACCAGGTCGTTCCAGGACACACACACACACGACCGCCTGCGAGCGGCCACACTCACCTCTGACACGAAACTCATTTGAGTGGGAACTGAAGCCGGCAGCCTTCAGCACACTGGTGATTAATGGTGGTGGCGTAAGTAATGGAGCTGGCGCAGTTTTAGTAGTTACTTCATCAATTAGTGCAGCCAAGCTGGAGGTGTGTGAGGGAGTGTGTTGTGGTGTGTGGGTGTGGAGGTGTGTGGGAGTGTGTAGAGGTGTGTGTGGGTGTAGTGGTGTGTGTGGTGATGTGTGGGTGTAGAGGTGTGTGTTGTGGTGTGTGGGTGTGGAGGTGTGTGGGAGTGTGTGGAGGTGTGTGTGGGTGTAGTGGTGTGTGTGGTGGTGTGTGGGTGTAGTTGTGTGTGGGAGTGTGTGGAGGTGTGTGTGGGTGTAGTGGTGTGTGTAGTGGTGTGTGGGTGTAGTGGTGTGTGTAGTGGTGTGTGGGTGTAGAGGTGTGTGTAGTGGTGTGTGGGTGTAGAGGTGTGTGGGAGTGTGTAGTGGTGTGTGGGTGTAGTGGTGTGTGGGAGTGTGTGGAGGTGTGTGGGTGTAGAGGTGTGTGGGTGTAGAGGTGTGTGGGAGTGTGTGGGTGTAGTGGTGTGTGGGTGTAGAGGTGTGTGGGAGTGTGTGGAGGTGTAAAGGAGTGTACTCACTTAGTTGTGCTTGCGGGGGTTGAGCTCTGGCTCTTTGGTCCCGCCTCTCAACTGTCAAACAACTGGTGTACAGGTTCCTGAGCCTACTGGGCTCTATCATATCTACATTTGAAACTGTGTATGGAGTCAGCCTCCACCACATCACTGCCTAATGCATTCCACCTGTTAACTACACTGACACTGAAAAAGTTCTTTCTATCGTCCCTGTGGCTCATGTGGGTACTCAGTTTCCACCTGTGTCCCCTTGTTCGCGTACCACCGGTGTTAAACAGTTTATCTTGATCTGTCCTGTCAATCCCTCTGAGAATTTTGTAGGTAGTGATCATGTCTCCCCTTACTCTTCTGTCTTCCAGTGTCCTGAGGTGTATTTCCATCCAGCCTTTCTTCGTAGCTCATGCCTCTTAGTTCTGGGACTAGCCTAGTGGCATATCTCTGAACTTTTTCCAGCTTCGTCTTGTGCTTGACAAGGTACGGGCTCCATGCTGGGGCCGCATACTCCAGAATTGGTCTTACATATGTGGTATACAAGGTTCTGAATGATTCCTTACACAGGTTCCTGAAGACAGTTCTGATGTTAGCCAGCCTCGCATACGCCGCACATGTTATTCTATGGATGTGGGCTTCAGGAGACAGGTTTAATGTGATATCAACTCTCTGTCCGTTTAATGAAGGACTTCATCTCCTATTCTGTATCCTGTGTCTGGCCTCCTGTTTCCACCGCCTAGTTTCATTACTTTGCATTTACTCGGGTTGAACTTTAGCAGCCATTTCTTGGACCATTCATTCAGTCTGTCTAAGTCATTTTATAGTCTCCTACTATCCTTCTCTGTTTCAATCCTACTCATAATTTTTGCATCATCAGCAAACAGTGAAATAAACGAGTCTATACCCTCTGGGAGATCATTTACATGTATCAGAAACAGTATAGGTCCAAGGACTGATCCCTGCGGGACTGCACTGGTGACGTCTCGCCAGTCTGAGACCTCACCCCTCACACTGACTCACTGTCTTCTGTTGCTTAGGTACTCCTTTATCCAATGGAGTACCTTATCTTTCACTCCAGCCTGTACCTCCAGCATTTTCACTAGTCTCTTTTGTGGTACTGTATCAAAGACTTTCTGGCAATCCAAAAATATGCAGTCTGCCCACCCCTCCCTTTCTTGCCTGATTATTGTTGCCTGGTCGTAGAATCAATTAACCCTGTGAGGCAGGACCTGCCATCCCTGAACCCATGTTGATACTGTGTTACAAAGTTCTTTCGCTCCAGATGTTCCACTAGCATTTTTCGCACAATCTTCTCCATCATCTTGCATGGTATGCAAGTTAGGGACACTGGCCTGTAGTTCAGTGCCTCCTGTCTATCCCCTTTCTTGTATATCGGGACTGCCGCTTTCCAAATTCTTGGCAGTGCTCCTGTTGGCAATGATTTATTATACACTATGGAGAGTGGCAGGCACAGTGCTTTTGCTCCTTCCTTTAGTATCCAAGGGGAGATTCCATCTGGGCCTATAGCCTTTGTCACGTCCAACTCTAGCAAGAGCTTCCTTACATCCTCACTGGTAATCTCAAACTATTCTAGTGGTTCCTGGTTAACTATTCCCTTTCTTATCTCTGGAACTTCCCCTTGCTCTAAAGTGAAGACCTCCTGGAATTTCTTATTCAGTTTCTCGCACACTTCCTTGTCGTTTGTAGTGAATCCGTCTGCCCCTATACTTGATTTCATTACCTGATCCTTTACAGGTATTTTTCTCCTGATGTGGATGTGCAGCAATTTAGGTCTTTGCCTTGCTTGCGATGTCATATTCGTAATGCCTTTCTGCCTCTCTTCTCAACCTGACATATTCATTCCTGGCACTCTGGTATCTTTCTCTGCTCTCAATTGTCCTGTATTTTCTATAGTGTCTTCATGCCCTTTTACTTTGCTGCTTAGCTAGCCTACATCTCTGGTTAAACCATGGGTTTCTCATATTCATTTCATTGGTTTCCTTTTGGACTGGGACAAACTTGTTTGCTGCTTCCTTGCACTTCTGTGTGATGTAGTTCATCATATCTTGGGCCGTCTTTTACCTGAGCTCTGTTTCCCATACTATATCTGTTAGGAATGTTCTTATCTCCTCATAGTTTCCCTTACGGAATGACAGCCTTTTGTTTTCAGTATCCCTCCTCGAGTTCAATAACTCTTCTTTAATCAGGTACTCAAACACCAGTACACTGTGGTCGCTCATTCCTTCTGGGGCCTCAAAACCAATTTATCTTATGTCGGAGTCGTTGAGAGTGAAGACCAGGTCGAGTCTCGCTGGTTCATCGTTTCCTCTTATCCTAGTGGGCTCCCTGACATACTGGCTTAAAAAGTTTCTTGTCGCCACCTCCATTAGTTTGGCTCTCCAGATATCCTCACCTCTATGCGGTTCCTTGTTCTCCCAGTCTATCCTTCCGTGATTGAAGTCCCCCATGATGACCAGATGGGATCTATTTCTACAGGCAGCAAAGGAGTAGAGGTGTGTGGGGTGTAGAGGTGTGAGGGAGTGTGTACAAGTATGAGGGAGTGTGTAGAGGTGTGAGGGAGTGTGTACAGGTGTGAGGGAGTGTGTACAGGCATGAGGGAGTGTGTAGAGGTGTGAGGGAGTGTGTACAGGTGTGAGGGAGTGTGTAGAGGTGTGAGGGAGTGTGTACAAGTGTGAGGGAGTGTGTACAGGTGTAAGGGAGTGTGTACAGGTGTGAGGGAGTGTGTACAGGTGTGAGGGATTGTGTACTGGTATGAGGGAGGGTGAACAGTGTTATGGTCCCAGGTAGCCGAAAAACGAGTCTCCCCTTTGAGAATTATTCTATCAAGCCTGACCTGACTAGAAGGTCTAGGAAATATAGAGGTGAAGACATAGATGTAAAATTGTTGGTCGGATTTGATAAACAATTTGAGATTATGGGCAGTGAATAAGAAAATAGATAAAGGACTGGTTAGGAGATGTGGATAATTTGCTGGAGGCATGAGGCTCGCTTCTGGAGGGCTTTGACCTCACTTGAGTGCCAGACATTGCAAGGGGAAGCTGTGCTCCGTTTGAGCTCCCGTCAGAAAGGAACCCCTAGTGATGATATATCTCCAAGATAGGTGAAGTGTGCAGACGTTCCAGCTGTGGAATCGAGCTGGGAACGTTGTGGTCTCAAGTCCTGGACGGCGAGGAGTGTTTATTAAACCGCCCAGAGACATTATCTTGGGCCGTGTGAGTGCCCTGACCAGACTCCGTCAGAGGGAGGAGCGCCCTCGGCCAGACAATCTGTGGTAAGCACGATTTTAAGCCAGTCTATAGCGATTACTTTTAGTTGGTCGTGTGCCCAGCAACAGTAGCAATGTTTATTGATAAGTTAGACATGTTTTGATAAGGCAGAAGGCCTAAAATAAGAGAGTGGAGAGGGAGGAATGTCCTGGAGGACGGAGCGACGTCCATCTCCTCTGAGCGCTGGCAGGTGACTGAGGGACCCCATCTCCTGACTGGAAGGACCCTCCCAGAGTGAGTGAGGACCGCCGGGCAAGGCGGAGCATGGACCAGCCCAAATGGGGGAGTCCACTCTCACAGTATGTAGAGAGCAGATAGATGTTGGAGGCAAACATATTGTGTGGTTATTTTTGTTTATGTGTTTAAGGGGAAACATTTTTATTGGAGTGTCAATGGGTTGCAGGTTTGTCTTTGGGGAAGAAGTTGCTGAGAACTTCGAATCCAGCACAGAGGAGTAGCTGATGAGACTCCAAGGTAGTGGAGGAGAGGACCTCGAGCTGTGACGAGAAGCAGAGAAGAGGAGTGTCACGTGCTTCTATAGAGGTGGCGAAGAACCATAGGAAAACTGCCCAAGGAAAACTTCATGGTAGCAGCCAAGAGAGCTGTGGAGGAACCTAGCAGAAGGGTGAAACACCGTAGTGGCTCAAGGAAAACTTCATGGTAGCAGCCTGGAGGAGCTGCAGAGGATCCTGGTAGTGGACTTCCAGATGTGGAAGGGAAGTTCTAAATGATTACTTGTAGGGAGGTGATAGAGTGGTTGGTTGTCATTAGCGTGCAAGACGCAGTGAAAAGTGAGTGATTGTTTGCCA